CATGGAGCACTGGGTGTTATATGCAAACAATGAATCATGGAATGCTACATCAAAAACTAATGATGTAATGTATGGTGATTAACATAACATAATAAAAAAATAGTTAAAAAAATAAATAAAATAAACTGGGAGTCTGGTATTGACTACCATCAATTAAAATATTCATTGGTGCCATAAATTTGCATGGCAAAGAATAGGGAATTACATTTACCAACAAAAGAGGTGTGTATAAAACAATACACAATACATTTGTTTTTTACTTCATATTAAGATATTTTCCTAGTATTTAAGGTTAAAAACCAGAGCATTCTCCTTACTTATACAGAGATTAACTTGCTGGACAAAATGACATATCTGATGTGGTGTCTCATGCTTTTAACGTGGAAGAAGCTGTGTGCATGAGCCCAGACTTCATAGGCAGGCAACCAAGAACTCAAAGTCAGGGTTTCACCACCCACAGAGGAAATGATTTGAGAAGGACCCATAGAATCCATGATTTCCTTGATCTATCAAGAGCTTCCTTTCCCCAGACCACCCATTCAGGCACAGTTCAGATCTGGAGTCCCACCTGGGTTAAAAGATCAGAACACTCTCTTGAAATAGACTTAATAAAGAGCCTTTAGGGGTGCCTGGGTAGCTCAATCGTTAAGCGTTTGCCTTTGGCTTAGGTTATGATTTCAGAGTCCTGGGATCAAACCCTGCATTGGGATTCCCTGCTCAGCGGGAAGCCTGCTTCTCCCTCTCCCACTCCCCCTGCTTGTGTTCCCTCTCTTGCTGTCTCTCTCTGTCAAATAAATAAATAAAATCTTAAAAAAAAATAAGAACCTGTTTCAGAGCAGACATTTCTCTAAAGAAGACATACAAATGGCCAACAGATACATGAAAAAATGTTCAACATCATTCGGCATCAGGAAAACACAAATCAAAACCACAATGAGATACCACCTCACACCAGTCAGAATGGTTAAAATTAACAAGTGAGGAAATGACAGATGTTGGCAAGGAAGTGGAGAAAGGGGAATCCTCCTCCATTGTTATTGGGAATGCAAGCTGGTGCAGCCACTCTGGAAAACAGTATGGAGTTCCTCAAAAATAGAGCTATCCTATGACCCACAAATTGCACTACTAGGTGTTTACCCCAAAGATACAAATGTAGAGATCTGAAGAGGCACATGCACCCCAATGTTTATAGCAGCAATGTCCACAACAGCCAAACTATGGAAAGAGCACAGATGTCCACTGACAGATGAATAGATAAAGAAAATGTGGTAAAAATATACAATGGAATACTACTCAGCTATCAAAAAATGAAATCTTGCCATTTGCAATGACATGGATGGAACTAGAGGGTATCATGCTAAGTGAAATAAGTCAATCAGAGAAAGACAATTATCATATGATTTCACTCATGTGGAATTTAAGATACAAAACAGAGGATCATAGAGGAAGGGAGGAAAAAATAAAACAAAATCAGAGAAGGAGAAAAACCATAAGAAACTCTTAAACATACAAAAAAACAGGGTTAGTGGAGGGGAGGGGATGGGGGATGGGGTAACTGGGTGATGGACATTAAGGAGGGCACATGATGTAATGAGCTCTGGGTGTTGTATGCAACTGATTAATCACTGAAATTTACTTGTAAAACTAATAACACACTATATGTTAATCAACGAATTTAAATTAAAAAAAAGAGTCTGTCTCATTCAGTGATGGACTACTAGTGTTCTCATCATGCGCTCTCCTGTGAGTAACCAACTAGAATGAGATCATCATAGCTGTAAAGTGTCGCTGTGGGAGGCTCAAAGAGCAAGGTACAGGAGTGGTCATTATTCTTGGAAAGAGCACAAGAAGGCTGAGCCTAGAGGTAGGGAGAAATTGCTGCAGGGAGAGGAGAGGGGAAATGCAGATCCAGAGAATGAAAGTCATGGGGAAGGATGGTCAAAAAAATACAATCTAAAAAAATTACATCTTTTTTTTTAAAAGATTTTTATTTATTTATTTGTCAGAGAGAGCGAGCACAAGCAGGGGGAGCAGCAGAGGGAGATGGAGAAGCAGACTCCCCGCTGAG